GGTAAAAAAAATTTTTTATTTTTAAAGCTCCCTTTATTTTTCTTAATAATGAAAACTCATTTAGTTTCATCTTAATTATGTTTCTTCTCTTTTCCTAAGTTTAAGGCCTTAATAAAGAATTCGATTTACCCTTGGAAGGCAAAAGACAAACTTTTATTTAAAAAAAAGTTTAAATGATTAAGAGCAAGTCAGATTCTGGTCACACAAAGACATTAAAAAAACTTATAGATGGCCATATAAATGTGATATTGTGATGTGCCATAAACTTACCTAGATATAAAATCTTTAAGGTACTGATCTCTGCTTTGTTGGACATCACCTGTAACAACTTTGGTACGATAACCAGGCAGCTCTTCACAAAATACTTTCCCTTGCTGAATAGCTAGATCTTCTCTTTCTACAATGAAGGCGGCTTTACCCTCCTTTCCTTGCCCTTCGCAATTTCTTAACACTGTCTGTCATATCGATTGATTGCAAAAAGGATTATTACATGAGTTTTGTATACATGCATATACAATGAAAATAAATCAAAATTAAGTAAAATATCAGCATTACCTTTCTTGATTTATACTTATTTCAGTTTCATTTTCATAATCATAGATGCCTTAAGGTGGTTTCTGAATTGCTAAAATGACATTTTTTAGCAATATTTTTTTTTACATACATGTAGTAATTATATCAAGTAAAATAAACATTTGTAGCCTTTGCAGTGTCAATATGATTTAAAATCAAACAAAACAAACACATAAATCATTTTGAATCCTTAAAATTGTTAAAATATTCAATATAAGGGTCTACTAAACATGTACTAAACTGCATTCTTCTAAAAATAATGCTAGCTCTCTATAATTTTCCCCGGAAGAATAAACTTACATGAACAATCTTGCATGCCACTTTTGTTTTGCCGGAATTTGTTGGAGCCATGATTATAACATTATCTCCCTCACATCCTTGCTTTGCCAGTTTCATTTGATATCCTCGGAGCTTGATTTCATGTTCGGCGACATTTACTAGCTCGTCTTGATCTGTTACGAATAAAAGGGCTACTTGATTATAAAAATGTTTAAGGATGTACAAATTGATATAATGTTAATGTTTCATTATGTTTTATATACGTTGTGAATAAATTCTTTTATTATAAATCTTTATCATGTTCTCATGTCTTCATTCAAATCTTACCATGCTAAATATCTTAAATGGACGTGAATCGTTCAATCTTGAAAAGAACCATTCATCATGTTTTGAGAATTTTTCAAAATATTTACTGGCTGAATAATGAACAATACGGACCAGACGACACGGATGTACCTTGATCTGCACTCATCGCAAGAGTAGATTCATTTGCCACCATTACGGTAAAGGTTTGGTTTAGTTTTTATGCAATTAAAACACTTGGTATACTAATACAAACAAGGATTGTGTGCAGATTCAAACGAATGAAAGTTACCCGTTGTTATATTCCAATCTCTGTAATAACTAGAGACGTCTATGTCTGATGGTCCTATATCTAAATCGTTAATGTTTATGCCATCATCAGAATCCGATGAATCATTTGTAGATTCTTCGTCCATATTTACAACAGGGACCTCTTTCCTGTCGTCGATTTGTACAGCTTTTTTGCTTTTCAGCCTCAGTTATATCATCATCGATTCTTCTAAATTATTTATAGAATGTGGTGTGGCTACTACTCACGTTGCTTAGCAGTATTGAAATTTTTTGATCATGCTGCAATGTCCCCATTGCTGTGGACGTTTTGTAATTTAGTATACCCTTCCTTTTCTGGTAGAGGAATGTTTTTAATCTTTGTGTCTACAGAGACCTTATGGTGAACTGCAATGTATATAGATATGTTTCATAGATTCCATCTCATATGTCGTATCAATTCTGAGAAACGCTTTAAGGAAACGGAAAAAAATATGAAACATATAACAAATAGGTACAACTCATTTATAAAATACTAGTATTATGATATATGGCAAAAAATGACAGGTGTCACCGCTTAATTTTGATTATTGCTTTGAATCATGTAAACCATTTCGGTTTAAATTAAATATATTGTGTAGTAGAAAACATACTATTTTGAATATGTTCTTTAACATCGTTACATTGTTTTTCTTCATCAGTGTTTTCGTTGTCCGGATTGTAAGATGCTTGTGCTTTTATTTCTGCAAACATGTTTGAAAGATACAAGTCAATGTTAATAAGGTGTTATAAAAATAAAATCAATGGCATTACACCGAGGAAATTCTAATCAGAATATGGAAACTGCTTGCTGCTTTCATGAAAATATACAACACATTTTTTATCACAAATAAGATTGGTTGATAATTTTTCTTTGTAAAACAATTCATTATTTATCTGATATATTTGAATATGTAAAAATAATAGACGAATATTCAGCTCTTCTTAAAGTATTATTATCTCTAACCACAATTTAGATATAAATCTGTTAGAAAGTTCATATTGATACAGTAAATAATTGCACAAACTCGTTTATTTAATAAGTTTCATGCAAAATAATGACAGTTTACTCTGAACCATGTCGTCATCCAATATCTGGGCCAAATGTTCGCAGCCATTCTCAATCAGCGATATAAGGAAATATTTGAACCAATCTTCTACATGTCTATGTATATTTGTAATGATGTACAATGCAGCTCTAGTTTTCCCGTAATTTTGTTCATCTTTCATCGTCTCCTCGGCTTCTAGCGCCGTAAGAACATTATACTTTCTCAGAGAAATAAGCAATTCTTGTGGCTGTACCTCGTTGATGACCGTTGTAGCAAACAAGTTCACAATCCTTCTATAGTTTTCATCACATTTAACAACTTCCCCACTGAGAAGCTTGACAATTTTTGGATAATCTGTAAAATAAGAGATCAAAAAGCATAGATTCCTTTCGTCACATTAAACAATTTCCCCGCGTGGAAACTTGACATTTTTAAGAGTTAATCTGTAACATAAGAGACCAAAAAGCAATACATAAATTCATAGACACAACTCGTACATTATTATTTGTTTGACATACATTTTTTCACATGCTTTCGTTGGGGATCATTTAATTAAATCTTTCTTTATATATATTTATCCCATAATACATTAATTAATGTTCTTTATTTCAGTCTATCAATTTTCATAAAATGATTTAAATTAAATGACACACATTCTTAAATGTGTTATAATAATGGAAAACTTTATTAGCTACGAGTATTTGGCCGGGTTGCACAAGCATACAAGTTATAAAACCATTTATTTGTTTTCGCAGCAACTACTTATCACAGCTTCTTGATATTTGGCATACAGCATTGACATGTGGTCACTGCTGTGGGATTCGAAATCAGGTCTGTTGCTCATCCACTTCCTGTTTATCGACTTAATTAAGTTTTCGACATAAATGGTCACTGGTAAAATCTTTTCGTGACAACTCAGCCTCATGCTATTTGGTATACAAATGCAACCTGGCCTTTTCTGTCTTTGGCTCATTTTTTTATCTTCATGAAAACAATTTGGAAAAAGAATAATCAAATTTTTCTTTGGTACAAATATAAATATATTTTAAATGGGTATTACTGAAAATTAATTTTCTGAAAATAATTACCTTCCTCAACTGCCTGCAATAATGCTGTAAAAAGTCCCGGTGAGTCCTTGTTCATCAACGTTTTAAATGCTTTCTGAGTGGCACGAACTGGATTTTCTCGAACTAATTGCTTTATTTCCTGTCTTTGTTCTATTCAAATAAAGCAAGAGTAGATTAAAGAATCTGATGCATCTAATTCATTTCCCGGAGCATAAATGAGAATGACATTTAATGCTAGAATAAGATCTTAATTTATTAAATATGATGAACATGACTAAATATTTTAGAATTTTGTCTTCTCACTGAAGTTTGTATTCGGAATAAAGTTCAGATAGTCAATATACAAAAAGAAAGATTGATAACTTCATGAGATCGCAAAAAAAAAACTTAAATAAATGAATGTAACATATGCATCTGGAATATATTAGAGCATTCGAGTGTTCAGAGGCGTGAGCGCCTATAGTAACGTGCATAATTTAAAGAACATACCGCCGGTAAAATAGTCTAGGTTAAGTAGTAGATCCTTGACGTCCACACATTCACAGATATAGGATAGATAACTCTCCAAATTGTATTTTATATGGGAGTCCCTTGAGATAATATCCTCTTCCATTTTATCCTGCCTGAATTTTATAAGCATTCATATACAAGAAAATTATCAACAGATTCCCGACAAGATGCAAATTTTATTTTATCGTAGTAGCACTGTAATTTGTAAATACAGTAGAACTTCTTTGAGTCGAACTTCGATAAGTCGATTTTTTCGATGTTTCGAAGTAAAATGAAAGTCCCCCTATATATTCTGTACGGAAGATATTTTGATTACATGTCAAAACTAATATCAGAAAGGTACATGGCTGCATTATGTATGTCTCTGATTTGTGTACTAGTCCAAATTTATACCAAATGTATATGTCCGGCAGACAAACAATTCCATACAATAAACTAGGTCGCATTTTTCTTCAGTATTATAATCCTTAACTATGTACTTTTCATGATTGGAGATTAAATACACATTTATTTGTTTTTTCAAATTCTCACAAAATGAGTCATTCCAGCTGCGTGTAATCTATAAAATTCGACGGGTTTTCCTAGCGATGATTTTAAATTCAGAGAATAATTCTTTGAGCGTTTATGATTACAAATACATACTACATGGGTGACCATCTTCATATTCTTCACCGAAATGTGCACTGGCTAAAAAGATATGTTGGTTTAATTCCCATATGAACGGAAAGTTTTACAATTTTGAGTTGTTTTTGTCGCATATGAGCTGTTTTTGAAAACAAAAATCATATCTAGAGTCAGTGTTGTCCGTATCTCCCAAACTATTGTCATTTTATCAGTATGACATGACCCGTCTGATTGAGAAAAAAAAACGAAAAAAAAAACCACAAAAAACATTAACATTTGGTGAGGTAGATATTAAGATTTTTTTTTACTCAAGGTGACTAAACGAAGATAAAAAGTGGGAAAGAGTACAATAGAGATTCTGTTTAAGTTGATAAGAATAAGAGTTTCTTCACACTAATCCTTAGTGTATTCCTTTTGATCTTTTCCCTTTGAACAGACCTATTTTTTCCCGAAAGAACTCAAATTACTTATAAATCTGAAATGATATGTACATATAGAGTTATTTTGAAGGAGAGATTAATTCATATTAAAAATTAATGAGTACTTTTTGCAAGCTTTTAAATCATGGTAAAAATAAAAGTACACGATGTCTCCATGTATAATCGACCCAGATTGTTCTCTTTTCTTGTATATGAAAACTACCAATGTATTTTGTATTTAGCTAAGTATTGTAGTGTAGTTTTGATGTTTGAATATGGAGCACATATTCACATATGGATCACAATGTGAAATTTGGCCAATGTTCTCTTAATTCTTTTCTTATCTTAAAAGATTTAACCGAAAAAAAGGTTTGTATGTAGGTTAAACATAATTTAAGAGTCAGGATTGTTTGCTTGTAGAGTGTTTAGAGTTTATTTTCAGCAATTTCTTTATTGATATATTGAATGATTGACACACGAGTCCATAACAACACAATTTTCTCATCTATAGTAGCTGTGTAAGGGTCGAATATCATTTTGAGTTTTTTTGTTTTTTTTTAAATTGTAAAAGGTACCATTTAATTTCCGGAAAATGTCGTCCTCATATGGGAGTTTAACCAACATAATTATTACTTTACAGGAACCACCATTTATTTTTATCTAATGCGCTTTTCTTAGTATCCTTCCAGAAGACTCGTCATAAATCTATTTGGCCGTTGCCTTGTTTTATTTTAAGTGATTAATTTACATGTTTTAACGATAACGTATAAATATCCGAAAACAATTTAATTATAGGAAGTGTTCGGGCGTTAACTAAGGTTGCGGTAGTTCGACAGGACAGCGCAAAATTTTTATCGCAGTGACAGCACGTCGAATCCTCACCATATGAGCGTTCTTTGTGGTTCGATCACTGAAACTAGACATGCGCATTGTATTCTTACCGTATGCACGATCTTTGTAAATGCATCGACTACAGCCAAATAATAGTTTGCGCATGAACCCTGCCATATTGTATTAAATCAAACCTATTTGCGTGACATTATATCAATAATTTGATTGATATCATAAACATATTTTGCATGGTATTTTAATGTTTAATGTATTACATATATACTTTTATAACTATCGAAATGACTTAATTGATAGTTTATGCCTACCTGACAATTTCAATCCAAACTTATGTAATGCGTATTTAGGTAATTCCCACCTGATAACTGGGATTCCTAAAAAACACTAATTGATAAGAAATGTTTAATCTTCTAATCTGGAATCATAAGAATTTAAAAGAATAGTATGCATATAGTAGTTTTTTCATTAATGTTAATCCAGATAATTATGACAATCGATCGAGTGTAATGTAGTTTATACTGGCAATTAACGTAAAACGCATTTTATTTTCAAAAAATCAAAACAGAAAGTAGCAGTCTGGAAAACCCATTTTGTGTATTGATTGAATGCATATGCAAAGGATTCGTCAAGGCCATATCATACTAATTTTGTAAACTTCTGGATTTTTTAGATAAATGTTTTATCGTTAATTAAAACAAGTTTAACCTTACAAAATGCCTTTAAGGGAAACACTGTATTTTTAAATATGGTGATATAGACAGGAGACCCAGACGATATTTAAAAAAAAAGGAGAAAAAAATAGAGATATTGTTACAGTCATGTCAGCGTTGACGATGCCGTCCGCTAACTTTAACCATGATCACGACTTTATACGTTCTCATGGCGCTGGACTAACCTTGACCTTCATTCATAAATGACCCTGACCTTCAATGTATAAATTTTGCTTGTTTGCTGATTTTTGCTAGTGGCCATAATTTTGTTATTTGTGAATGTATTGTCTTAAATATAATAATCTTTTAGGATAGACTTTCAAGTTAACCAGACAGACCTTGACCTTTACTCATAAATGACCTTGACCATGAAGGTCAAATTATTGAAAATTTCAGTTCTTTTCCTGTAACTGGCTATAACGTTGTTATTATTAAATGGACATACTTCATATTATAACAAATTCTTAAGGATAAGACCTTCAAGTATATCAAACTCAAATTGACATTTGCTCTTTTAAGACCTTGACCTAGAAGTAAAAATATTGAATTTTCACTGATCTTCGATATATTTGACTGTAACTTGGTAATTCATAAATGAGTTATCTTCATACTTTGACAAAACAACATATTGGATAAGACGTTCTAAAAGGTTGAACTGGCCTTGACCTTGAGCTGATATTTGCTAGTGGCTATACCTTTATTATTTTTGAATGGATTGTCTTCAAACTTTAACATTACTATCTTTAAGGAAATATCTTTAAGTTAACCAGGCAGACCTTGACCTCCACTCATAAATGACCTTGATCTTGGAGGTCAAATTATTGAATTTTTTTATATATTTGCAGTAACTGGCTATAACTTTGTTATTATTCAATGGATCAGCTTCATATTATAACAGAACATTCATTAGGATAAGATATTTATGCATATTACACTCAAATGAACATTTGCTCTTTTATGACCTTGACCTTGAAGGTTAAAATAGTGATTTGTCACCGATTTTTGCTATAATTGACTGCAATTTGGGGGATTGAACAGACAGACTTGACAGACCTATTAGAATTAAAAAATAGAAAAACATATCATTTTTCTTTAATTTTCCTTTTAAAGATTTGTTTTAACCCGTTTATTTGTTTGCTAAAAGTCGAGCGTTGCCTCCGCTCGGCGGTGGCTCTTGTTATTATAAATAATTTGGCTCCGAGCTACTTTATCGTTCACACCTCGCCAATGCCTGCAATCGCTCTTTCCCTTAAATGATGCTGAGCTGATATGATATCGCCTTCATACGCCGTCGTCTCCAAATTGCATATGTCATACAACTAAATATGTCATGCATACGCGTCAGAAAATAGTGCCATGCTATTTAAGTAAATCAGAAAAACGTTCGATAATATATTTAAAGTTATCATTTTTAATGACTTTTCATACGAGTAGAACTCCTAATAACAAATAAGGAAAATATTTCAACACTCGATATATTCTTTTCAAGTGCATATAAATCCTCTTACTTTCGAGAATATAGTCAGCAGCAGTTAACTCCCTTATCAGTACCGTAGCGTTACATTGCATAGTTAGAATGGAATTAAATTAGATCATTCGGACCTATTTCCCCCTGAAAATGGTTACTCGAATGAAACTAAGAGCATGAATGATTATTTTTTTCATAACTTAAAAATCGCCTTCCATCAGAACTTTAAAATACTATGATTATTATGTCACATGCCCTATGAGTAGAACAGCTGGTAGCGTGTAGAACATACATTTGGTTAATTTTGCACTTGGTCATTTAACCATGCAGCCGATTGCTGCAAACTATATTGAAGAAAGATTCGTCCATAAAAAGTAACATAAAATAAGAATATGCTTTGTCATTTCCGTTTAAAACTTATAGCTGTAATATGAAACAGATTTGATACTGAATAGTTTAAAATAACTTTTGAGTTGTTTGAACACTGGTGTCCCTTGACTGCAAATTTAGGGGTATCTTACACTATGTTTTACAGGAAAGCATACGCAAAAGTAAAGCCGCGCTTCCTTCTTGATATTTGCTTTTATATTTAATTCTAAATTATTTTTTTAAGAAAGGTGCGTTTATAACCCTTATTGTGTTGTATTCGCAACTTTTCGGAACTTAATGATCCTGTATGTTTTGTGATTGATATTGTGACTGTGTGTATACAGTCAGTTATAAGTTTATTTATACTCGGCGCCGGAATAACCATATGTCCGAGAATTTAGCATCCTTGCCGGTCCACTAAGGTAGTCTCATCGGGGACGTCTTTGTCAAGCTGAGTCTTCCTGATATTCCCATTCTTCGTTCGTTGGTGGTAGAGGAGACGACAATACTGTCCAGGCATCATGTTCCTTACTGACGATAACAAAAACGGCTCTCATTAGCGCCAACCCTCCAGAGTTAGTCACGACAGGTCAACCAATCACCTCTGGTACTTAAGATGACTTGACCTTGACCTGCCGTGTGCCTTCTCCGCGACGTGCACGCCTCTGGAGGGATTTGGAGAAGCTGTGTGTAGAGTACACTTGCAAAAAATTATATATGTATATAATTATGCAAATAAAACAATTTTCAAACATCGAAGAATATGCAAAATGTGTACTGCAAATATTTGTGCACATTATATTTAATTATATGATTAAGCTAGACTTACCTGTAAGGTGAAGGTTAATCATGATTTCATCCACATAAAACTCACTAAGGGCTCACACAGAGAGTAAAAAAACTATTAAAATTACCCTTATGGTTTTTCAGTTCCTTTTCCTTATGTCGTTCTAAAGGTTTTATGTACAACGGAGCATGCATAACCCCCGGTGATGCTGCAACCAGTTTTCCAATAATCTTTGAAAAATTTTGAATTGTTATTCGCCGGCATGTTATTATGTTATTGCAAAGCTCTGTGATATCATCACATTTTTCCTTTGTTAATCTTATAGTCATTGTTTTAGAGCACAGCACAAATCCCAAAAATACAATCTTTTTCGACGGAACCAGGACAGATTTACCCATTGAAATTGTAAATCCTAACTTGTCTAATAAATCAATTGTTTCGCTGATATTTCGAGCACAGGCGGAGTATGACTGACCTTGCAAACATGCGACGTCGATGTAAATTGAACTTAAATGACTGTCTTTAACTCATCCATGGTCTTCAATACCGGTACCAAAGCAGACGAAAAAAATTTCTGTGTCCTCTGCAATAGAAAATCCTGTGCTTTGACTTGAGATGGCAACTGTCGCCACAACTGCTCATTTACCAAAGGTACTTGTAGAAATTCTACATTGTTAGGCCTCTTGTGTGTGTCCAAAAGTTCCTTTATTTTTTCTTCTTTCGGGTGTACCTGCAAAGCTTTATTGCTCAAAGTGGCTAGTTTGTCACTTATCGCCCCTCCTGTTTCTGAGGCATCCTCGAAGAAATCCACCATGCAGAATTCATCATCATCATCATCATCATTTCCGTCGGTGACCCCAGATTCGGTGAAAAAATCTCCCACGCTTTCGTCATCTGAGCCTGAATCATCCCTCGTGCAAAACCGTTTCGAAGTTGATGTTTCTTCGCAGGTAACTGCAGGTCTTTTCAAAGAATTAACGTCAGACCTCATTTCAGTCAGAGAATCCGTTAAACCTTTTATTGCATTTTGGATGTCTTCTAACTGACTAGAAGATCCTGCAAGTGTCCCGAATTTTTCAAATATATTCGGAATATTGGACTTGTTGTTTCCGACCTCTTGATCGTCGGCCATGATCCTGAAAAATGTTTGTTAAACATTTCTAGCAGCAGTCCATTTAAGCAATAAAATGAAGTAGAAACATATATATAAACGATTAGAATTTTAATCGCAGTCAGGCGTAATTAACGCCGTCAAATAGATCTCTACATTAATCATTAATTCGTCCCTCTGTGGTATGCAAAACGCCTGATTTTTTTTTCTTTTTTTTTTTTTTATTATTATTATTATTATTATTATTATTATTATTATTATATTTATGTATGTCATGTTGCATGAACACGCCCTATTGCAAACAAATATATAATTTGTCTGTAGTGTTCAGACCATTTTAGCTTTTCCATGGTGTTTGGATAAGCATAATTACGAACAAATGTATCTTTTGTCTGTGGTGTTCAGACCATTTTAGCTTTTCCATGGTGTTTGGATAAGCATAATTACGAACAAATGTATCTTTTGTCTGTGGTGTTCAGACCATTTTAGCTTTTCCATGGTGTTTGGATAAGCATAATTACGAACAAATGTATCTTTTGTCTGTGGTGTTCAGACAGTTTTAGCTTTTCCATGGTGTTTGGATAAGCATGATTTCATTATAAACAAATGAGTCTTTTGTCTGTGGTGTTCAGACAATTTTTGCTTTTCCATGGTGTTTGGATAAGCATGATTTCATTACGAACAAATGAGTATTTTGTCTCTGGTGTTCAGACAATTTTTGCTTTTCCATGGTGTTTGGATAAGCATAATTACGAACAAATGTATCTTTTGTCTGTGGTGTTCAGACAGTTTTAGCTTTTCCATGGTGTTTGGATAAGCATGATTTCATTATAAACAAATGAGTCTTTTGTCTCTGGTGTTCAGACAATTTTTGCTTTTCCATGGTGTTTGGATAAGTATAATTACGAACACTGTATCTTGTTTTGCCTGTGGTGTTCAGACATTTTTTTCCCGTATTTGGCAGCAGTGTTCAGACAAAATTGGCTAATAAATATTGTTGTTATATAATTTAGAACTACAAATGTATATATTGTCTGTGGTGTTCAGACATCAGACATATACAAGGATTTTTGTATTTGACAAAAAGGTAAACGATTTTAAGTATTAACTTAAAATAAATATATACAAATAAATTAAACATACCTCTTATCACACTTGTCTTAACTGCTTAATTAATATCCACAAATGAAACACTTGTTAGTCCTAAATAATTACACTATCATAATTTAAACTTGTGAAAAATACGACAGGCTTTACTTTAATTAAGAACAATTATACGTCTTGACCGTAGCTGCTAATGCCTCGTTATGATCACTGGCTGCTGATAGCTGCGTCCTCTCTCTGTGGGGCCCATTAGTGAGTTTATATGTAGGATGAAATCAATAAATTACATGCATTATTTTCTTATTGGAAAATTTGACTTACAATTTATAGAAAATAAATTTATATTTACCTCCCTTTATTTACATGAAATGTTGAATTGGGTAATATCTTTATAAATAATGCTTATTGGAACTTACAGTATTGACAAATCTTAATTTGAGCATCATCTTTATGAAATAAAACAATGAAAAAATTGTGTTACAGGATCTTTAAGCTCGGGCACGATAGATACTTATGGATGGCCCCCATCGAACACAATCGATACATATAGTCACACTCATCGAACACAATAGCTACACATAGTTACACTCATCGAACACTATAGATACATATAGTTACACTCATCGAACACAATAGCTACACATGATTACACTTATCGAACACAATCGATACATATAGTTACACTCATCGAACACAATAGATACACATGGTTACACTCATCGAACACAATAGATACATATAGTTACACTCATCGAACACACTAGATACACATGGTTACACTCATCGAACACTATAGATACACATGGTTACACTCATCGAACACAATAGATACACATGGTTACACTCCATCGGACACTATAGATACACATGGTTACATTCATCGAACACTATAGATACACATGGTTACACTCATCGAACACTATAGATACACATGGTTACACTCATCGAACACAATAGATACACATGGTTACACTCATCGACCACTATAGATACACATGGTTACACTCATCGACCACTATAGATACACATGGTTACACTCATCGAACACTATAGATACACATGGTTACACTCATCGAACACAATAGATACACATGGTTACACTCATCGGACACTATAGATACACATGGTTACATTCATCGAACACTATAGATACACATGGTTACACTCATCGAACACTATAGATACACATGGTTACACTCATCGAACACAATAGATACACATGGTTACACTCATCGAACACTATAGATACACATGGTTACACTCATCGAACACAATAGATACACATGGTTACACTCATCGACCACTATAGATACACATGGTTACACTCATCGACCACTATAGATACACATGGTTACACTCATCGACCACTATAGATACACATGGTTACACTCATCGAACACTATAGATACACATGGTTACACTCATCGAACACAATAGATACACATGGTTTGGTATTAGCAGAGATTTATATTAGATATAAAATCTCCGTAATATTATTCAGGACACCTACAGCTTTTATTCGTTACGGAGTTTTGTATGTGTTGTTTGTAACAAATATCTAAGAAATGATGTTGTTCCTCCGGAAACCATCTACCTGTGCTTTGTACATCCTTGACAAGCCGGCTCGGAGTTTCCGGGAACAGAGTCGTTTTGGTTACTTTTGGAAATGTTTAGATAGATATATATATAATTTTAAAGAGGAAAAAGAAGCAAGATCTCTTTTACATTTTCAAATTTTATTCATCATTCAATATATCATAACAACAAATGTATCTTTGGTCTTTTCTGCTTACTACAATATGATCTATAACATTTTACTCCGCTTACAAGATATTTTTTTAACTGTAATTTACAAAGTCTTGAATAACAAGCTATTCAAAAAGTAAAAGTCAATGGATTTCCTATCCAAAAATAGATAAAACAGTATAATGGTGTATAAACATTTTGTAATATCACATAACACATTTGACAACAACAGCAATAAGAACAACAATAGAATCTTAGTTTATCCACATACAGGTGTAGCACAAATTATTACTCATTCGAACATCACATCTTAAAAAACACTTTCAACAACATCTCAAATTTAAAAATCTGTTTAAAACGTGAAACCCACTCAATAATAAAAAACTTCTACAAATTCTGAATTGTGTGGCTTACAAGTATATCACACGGAACTAAAATCAAAGCTTGGCTTGACGATATAAATAAGATATAATCATTAAAGATCCTGTATGTTTTGTGATTGATATTTTTACTGTATGAATACCACACTAGCAAAAAATTATATATGTACATATTTATGCAAATAAAACAATTTTCAAACATCAAAGAATATGTAAAATGTGTACTGCAAATATTTGTGCACATTATATTTAATCAATAAATTACAGGCATTCATTTCTTATTGGAAAATTTGACTTAGAATTTATAGAAAATAAATTTCTAATTACCTCCCTTTATTTACATGAAATGTTAAATTGGGTAATATCTTTATAAATAATGCTTATTGGAACTTACAATATTGACAAATCTTAATTTGAGCATCATATTTATGAAATAAAACTATGAAAAAAATGTGTTACAGGATCTTTAACATCAACAAAGATTTTGCTCTATGACGTCATGCATGGTGCTCAACGAACATATTCTGCATTCTTATCCGAAGACTGACGGAAAGGGCCGAGTAGTTGCGATTGCATATTCTGAAGCTAAAATCGGCTCGTGTTAAATTTGCAGAATTTCCACCAAATAGTGTCAAAATATATTCTTTCAGCACCATCAACAATGAAATAAATTGTTTTTTACAATCATCTTCTTGTCACATGTAATTAAGATTAATTCTATGCACAAGTCGTTTAATACAATATGCTAGTAATACTTACGTACGGATAATTGTAATTATGACATTATAATACGTTTAACGGCAAAATGAGGGATGCAAAAATATAACACCTATAATGATTGTAAAATACACATGAAATTCAAATACTTTTCTATTTATCGCAGTCACTTTAGTGGATTTCATAATTGTTTGTACAGTTTTACTGGAACGAGGCTCGGACTAATCTGCCCTCGAGAGCTAATGGTGGCCGGAAGTTGTCCTGCATGTCATGTCCATCGGCATCTTTCAAACTTCGTAACTTTTTCATCTGTAATAGAAAGAAATAAATGATAATTATGCTTGTTTTCTATTGTATGACTGGGTTATAAAGGATATAAACAAAAAATGTTGATAGTGCGTCAACAGAAGTGCGATAATAATAATTGTTTCGTTTTTTTAAATCTTGGTCAATTCAGATATCTAATTTTTGAAAATGTAAAATTTATGAAAATTCATATGTATCGCAATTGTAAATAAATGATGAACGAATAAACCCTACGAGTGACAGCGTGGTCGAATGGTATACGCATCGGACTAGTAATTTAAGGATTGTTGGCTGTGTTGGTTCAAACCCCGTTAAAGGCAAGTCATTGTTTCTGTGAGCAAGAAATTTTACGCTCGTTGCTTATCAATGGTTGCTTCCAGGAATTTATTCGAGAGTGTTTATCTAAGGTCATAGCTTCAAAACACAATCGAACTAAAACTAAACCACCACTTCAAGTTAGTGTGATTTTACAAAAATAGTACTTCGTTATGTCATAATGGCGGTGATATGTAATATTTTATATGAACGATTTGGTTTTGAACGTGATTACCTCCCTTAATCAGATTGAATCAAAATTGATGAAATTGTCCGCCATTTCGTACTATTTCGTTTGTAAGAAGGACAAACATAATATATCTGCTTTCCTAAAAGAAATTCCGAAATTGTTTCATCATATTTCTATAAATTGATTTCATTTCATTAACAATGTTTTAAAAGTTCATGTAGTTATAAATATTTAATAAACTTGTTTCGGAACTTTTAAATAGTGACATTGAAAACCCGATTGTAGTGTTGTTTATTTTTCAATTTGAAAGAAAGTTTGGATGGCCATCAAACTTCATTTGTACACACAGTCTCACACACGCTTACAGTCAGTTCGTTTAAATGACATCATCACTCTTGGTGTAGTTTAATCTAGTAAAATATTTTGTTTGAAAATGATACAAATGTATACATTTGAGCCGCGTCATGACAAAACCAACAAAATGCTTTTGCAACCAACATGGATCCAACCCAGCCTGCGCAGTCTGACGAGGATCCATGCTGTTCGCTATCAGTTTCTCTACTTGTAATAGGGTTTGTAAGCGAACAGCATTATCAGTTTCTCTACTTGTAATAGGGTTTGGATCCTGATAAGACTGCGTGTCTGGATCCATGCTGATCGCAAACGCACTATGTTGGTTTTGTCATGGCGCGGCTCATTTACTTATACCCCGGTATTCGATCCCTTAATCACCCTTTAACATACCTGGTCAGCTGAATATTCAACCGGTTCCTTGAACACTATCCATTGCACACTTTCAAACAAAGGTGGAGTAGTCAAAGATCCCTCGTATGTCCAGTATTGTGAAGTATTGTCTGAAAGAATGATAAAAATGATACAAAAATATCAGAAAATAACAGAACAGAAACTTTATTTCTTGGTTTAAGCATAAAAAGCTGATCATATTACATATACAAATACAACATATAATACATATCAACATATACAAAATCAACATATGCGAAAAATAATTTAAACAAATTTTGAACCAAACTGTGTACCAAAATTGGAATATAAATCATAATTATAATTACATGTAACCGGATTATATGGAATGGTAAAATCGAACGTATGAATAAAAATGGCTAAATATTAGAAAATAATTCCAAGGGAGATGATCAGAATTGGATGACATCGGCTTAAATTAACAGTTGTATGTTATGAAGAAGGGCAATGTTTAATTACTGGGTAGAAGCTCTGCTGGGTCCAAAGCTGTATCGAATGTTTTATCCGTGTTGATTGAGACCATTTCATCTAGATGATTAGTGATTGTCTTAAATACTTGATTTTCCGATCCTACCTGAAATACATAAAAACAACAACGTTAAAGATTTATTTGTAAGGAATACATAGGAAATATATACACCAAAGTTCATGCAAGGCGCACAGTTTACCATTCTAGGATCATACAAGGCGCGCTGCTTACTTGCTTAATGGCGCGCACCTTAAGGTATTAGCACCCTAATGCATTACCTCCGCTTTGAAGAGTATTCAAATAGGCTAGAACTACTGTTAACTACATTGAAAATGAGGGCCATGGGTTCGATCCCCAGAAGGGTCAACTTTTTTTTTCTTTCTTTTTTTCTTTTAACATTATTTATGTATCTCTCATGTCCCATTTGGAAAGAAAAAAGTGTTTAATTTTGATTTTTTAATTTATATAGGTATTTATTGGCTAAATTAAGCTAAATCTAGTAATAAATATGGTACCTGATATTTTCAAAGTGTAATATAATCAAAACTAGACGGTAAAAGTATTTCATATTTTACAAGATCAACCAATATACTTTTTTAAAAATTTAGGGAAACTTTGAAAACAGGCACTCATTTGGGTAAATTTTAAGATTTTTTTAAATTAGGCTCCCTAAGTAGAAAAATGGTCAGACACGTGGTAAAAATGGGTGGGGTAGGGTAACATTTTTATACAGATTTCATAAATTTTAAGTAGAAACCATAATTTTGCTTATGTGGATTGTTAGCTGAATGGTACTATTTGTTTCTTACCAAAAATTAATGGGAAAACATTTTTTATTAGAATGTTATTGCAGATTATTTAAAAGTTCCTCATTTCTAAAAAAGAGCCCTCATAACATCCTAGCTTGAGTTCAGAAAAGTGGCCATAAATTGATTTCCGTACGGTAAACCTTGTTTAAATTTTGCATACAGGTGTACTTTAAGGTATACATCTGACCTATGATGTCAATTTTTTAGTTCCTGATAGTGCCCATTAGGGTCCTAATACCTTAAGGCGCTAAGTTTATAGATTCTCGGGTTATACAATGTGTCCTGTCGTTTAACATTCTAGGCACTTCAAAGCGTGCTGCTTAAGGTGCAAATTTTACCGTTCTAGGAAAGGAAAAGATCTATAGATAGTATTGATTTTCATTATTAATTTATCTCTAGCTATGACAATAAATGTAATGCATCTTTCCTTAGTATTTATCACTCAGAGCTATATAATAACAATATAAAAACGGATAATCGCAAAGGATAAGAGCATGGAACAACATTGAAATAAATCACGTGGCAAAATGTCGTCACGTGACAATATATCGTCACACAGTATACTTACCTTCACCATAATACCCAGTACTGCCAAACCATCGCTTTTACTTGCAGCCTCACCAAAGCTTGCGTATTTTGAAGAATTCCAATGCACAAGATGTAACTATAAAAACAAAATAATAAAACAAATGTCGACACAAGAAAACAACAATTCATACAACGTAAAATAAATGAATAAGAAAAGAATGTTAAGAGTGTTTTATGTTTCGTTTTATTTTGTGCATTATATTCTATTTCCAGATGATTATTTATATCAATTTCTTCGTCTGCAACGATTTTAGTTTATTTCATTTACCTCAGCAGCATATTCCTTCCCGTCAATGGTATGTTCTGAACCCTTGTCATCCTTTGATCCCCAATGCAGATGAAACTGTTCAAGCCGGTAGGTGTCGCCTTTCAAAGGACCGCCTGTCAGAACTGTCAATTGAATGATAGTTAAATAACGTTGTAGATTTATTTGGCTTCAACAAAATTGTATATGTTTAAATGCTGTCAAAAGTTGTCGAAATCATTGAGGAATACATACTAAAGATTCGGCTACAGACCAACTTTTTTTAAATATATTATTATATAAAGTACATCTATCATAATCAACTAATTTAAATATGTTAATATGATAGTCTGTTAGCTTACCAAACTCGTGAGATGTTGCAGAGGTATAGAGCAAACATTTAATGAAAAATTGAATAAGAAAAACACCGATACAAGGTAAGATTATAGCTCTTTACACATTTGTTAAAAAAAGGAATGAAAAGAGTACCAGATTTATTTTCAGAACTGATTTGGCACATGATGCTGTGTCCGTTGTTTTTCAGTTGTATATTTCTCTCCTGGACATACTTGGTGGTCAGTGGTTCGTCGGTAAGATCTGAGTCATATTTCGCCTCTGACGTCTTAATATCAATTGGTGACTGACGTTTTCCCATGCTGCCAGTGAAACAATCCTTTGCCCATGTTGATGGACCTTTAAAAATACAGAAACTAAATGAGTACCTGTGTACTAAAGTGGACCTAAAAGTGACGTTATTACACCGTCGGTGTGTAATAAGTGATAAATACCTATTTCGAAAGTGGATTTAATAGCGAACTTTACAACAAAAACAATCGTGTAACGTATATATACAATAGCTTAGCTATAATTTTTATTAGGTTTGAGAGCAATATCACGTCATGGCGCCCAACAACCAACTTTAAAGCAGCATAAAAACATATTTTTATCAGGTTAAACTTTCCTGAAATATTCTATCTCATCTGGAGGCTTTCATAATGTCAGAGGACAGAATTGTTCAGTTTCATGCTTATCTAAATATAGATCTTATCCTCATTTTCTGACTTTCATTAATGAAACATAACTGGAAGAAAACGCACGGAATTGTTATTCGGCCATTTTGAAACTCCTAGATGACGTAATGAAAGTCACGTCACGTGAGAAAATAGTACTCTTTCCTATTACCCGATATAATGACACCTTTGCAACTTATCGTTTTTCCTGATACAGTTCAATGAAGACCTGTAATGATACTCATATATCTATTATTACAATTTGATGACAAAAATATTAGATCTTGAATATTGAGTAACGTTAATATTGATGAAATTAATTGCGTATTTTCATTTTCACAGTAAGGAACTATTTATCACAGCAGTGAAACATATTTTCCGTATTTTCCGATTTTTCACTGGTGTTTCTTCTAGATTTAGCCAAAACACAAAATTATAGGTGAATTCTTTCAAATTGTAATGTCAAAAAAGTATAAAATGTTTATAATAAAACGAAAATTCAAGTTTTCTCTATAGAATCTAATGATTAGATACAAGATTTATTTTTATCTTGTGGTATGAAAATTATCATATTTCTCCCGGGGCTACTGCCATGAAATATTTTACTTTCAAAATTAGTCCAGTATTTATGAAAGAAAACTTTAATATCCTCCTTGTATTTTCGAAAAACTGGCACAACTCGTCCAACATAAGCTCAAATATTTTGTTATAATCTATTTTTACTGCAAGATGGCTGACAACGGAACTGTATTATTTTTACACACATGAGAAAGATAATAAAGATAGTGATACTAATAAAAATGCCACAGGCAAGATGTATAGATATCCGAGATATCCGAGACAAGTTACCAAATTTGAATTGATTACGTAACAATGCTCCAATGAACATAGAGAGGGCGCTATGGTACATTGGTAACACTGTCTGCCTACCAATCAAGAGGTCATGAGTTCGATCACCCGCTAGTCCTTAAAGAATAGAATGACAACGAGACTGATAAAACCAGAACATAGAACTCTAGATTAAACTAATAGGACTAAATGGTTATACAGACTAAACTGACCAGAATATATGAATAAAACTATAAGAACAACGTTGAAATGTGCATATTGTATATGACGGCAACAAGATAATAGTTTTGATAATCATCAGTTAAACTGATCAAAATATATGTATATACAATTGATAGGCGTCCCTATAACTGCAGTTTTGTCACCGTTAATGCATAATTATACAATATAAATGCAGTCTGCGCGAAAGTCTGTCGGTCCTCGGACCTCGCCAACTAAAAATCAGGAGGGCCGAGAAAATTTTGATACAGTCAGTCCTCATGTCCGATTAAAATTTCAGCCAGTTTGAAACAATTTTTGGCCTAAAATATGTAAAACTGTTATATTTATTATGTTTCTGTATTTTTTTTTCATAGTATCTTAAAGTTGAGTCTGATTATTCATATTTGCTGAATGTTTTTGATTATAATTATGGCAACATCCCTCCCCCACCCCTACAAAAAATACCTTTCAGAGTCCGGGCCGCAAAAAAATCATCAGGGCCGGAAATAAATCTAAGGATCCCAGTCCTTGTGGCTGGAAAAAAATTTTGACTTTCGCATTGACTGTAAATGTTTATGTTGATAAATTCAAACACTGTACAAATGAAGCATGCATTTTGCACGCATGTGCTTTGCGTTAGCAATGCACGAACATTGTACGATACATTAAATGGAATCTACTTAACTGACAAACGTTCTCATTGCAAGAGCTACTATTAGATTTCGTTAAATTTTACATTGTTGAAAAATATCATTTAAAATTATCTTCATTTTTTAAAAATTCTATCTTTGCCATACATTTGATAAAATCACCATCTTTTTACAAACGCGCCTTGTAAAAAATATTGTTCACCTGTCATTGCTTATCTGTTTGGTCAAAGCTTAGGGCCTATTAGCTTATATACACATATGTTGATAAATTTATCAAGTTCTAGTAAAGTATAGTGGTAAGGAATTTTGAGAATTTATTTAACTATAGCATACCGCAGTATTAACTAATTACATTGTAATCTGAACTTTGAATTATTTTTTTATCAAATTGTCAAAATTGATTGCTACAGCAAATCATTACACAACTTTATATTCAAAAAGGAAACCAAAGTGTCCATCATCATGTATTTCTATAATCCTTTAATGACATGTTGACCGAACGCCTGACCCCAACTAGAATAAGAAATCTTAAGAGAAAAAAAGGTGTTTGTCCTGACCGGGTCTCTGACACGAGTGATATTTTAATCTGGTAGAAAACAGGGTCAAGTTCAGCGTTGAGTGAAAATGAAAAATGGTCAGCCCTAGGGTCTATCTGTTAATCTTAATACCAAATTGTTGCATACATTCACAGACTCTTCAGCTGTGAATCGAGTTGAAAAATCCGTGACCACCAACATCCTAATCGAGTTTTTAATTAATCCGGATTTAATATGTACATGTATTGTTATACATTGTAGATTGAAATATGATTATTTTTTTCGAATGTTAAAAAGTTTGTATTATTAATAAAACTGTAATGTATTGAGTTTTATGGAAAAAATCGATTTTATAAGGTTTGTACTCAGTTAGGACTGGGCCCAGAAATGCGATCCACCCAATCGACACCCCATATGTACGTACATCATGCAGTCACCATTGTTAATTTTGTAAGAAAATTAAAAAAAAAAGTGAATTAATCATTAACAATGTAACGATGTTCATAGGTATACACTCGATAACGCACTCAGTTCTAGAATTTCTTCAATTACTCCGGAAGATCAATATTCTAATCGATCTAAGCTTTGTTTTCTCGGAACCAATATCACGATAGTCCAGTGTATATTGCACTAACTAATTAATATCTTTATGAAATATGAGCTGA